TCTGCGAAGCTGAGACATGTCTTTAGGAGGCAGAAATAAGAGTCAGCATCACTTGTGTCCTGAGAGGATGTGCATTCACAGTAATTGGGAAGAAGAAAGATTGTAGAGATTAACTGAGTTTGGTTTAGGATACACACTGTTTTCTTTTTAAATGCAAATGATACTTGGGGCCCAAAAGACAAAATCTGTTCTAAATGCCAGTTTCTTTAAAAAAAAAAAAAAAAAGTACTTAATAATCAGAAAACTACCAAATTGATTATGTTTTTGTTTTTTACCAAATTAGAAGCTCTAACCATTTAAATCAAGCCTGTACAGGATCCATTTCCAGTGGTAATTTTGAAGTTCACATGCCCTTTGAAAGAAAAGTAGAATAAATATCCATAGACCATAAAAGGAAAGAAATCGGCATGAAACTCTGTTGATTTTATACACAGGGTTAGCTCATCAAAAGAGACCCTGGTTAATTACCTATGTGCAGATGTAGCATTGACCATCCGTTTTAAGAGTTTTATGTAAGAACCACAACATAGTTTTGAAACCTGTGACATCACGGTCAAAAAATTGCCTTTTCAAGGCAGTCCGCAATTTTTAGAGGTTTTATCTGGAAGACTACAACTCCACTTGCACAGTCTGTAGATGCAGTATTTTCTTATTATTAATAAATACTTAATATTTAATGTGTATATACTGTGTTCTAGGTAAGGTTAGGAGGCCTTGGTATGTGAGGTATTATATATACTCCAATCATCTCATGCACATTTTCTGAGAACCTAGTATTTGCCATACCCTGTGCGAAAGGCACAAAGATAAAGGTGACTCAGTGCTTCTACACACAGGCCACTTTCCTGCATGTCATCCCCTACAACTATCTGCATCAAAACACAATACTTGAGCCTCACAGAACTGCTTTCTAATCCCAGCATACACCACATCCTTTTGTGCATCTGGCTCTTTGTGCACACTTGTTTTCTGCCTTGAGTGTCTTTCCTTTGTTTGCCTGGAGCCCTGCATCTTTTAAGACCAGCTCAAACAAAACCTGCTGGGTAATGCTGTCCACCTGCAGCTTGCTAGCACCTGGTACAGACCTCGTCTAAGACCTACTCCTGTCACTTCGAACTCTAATTCCTTTCCTCTGAGTCTTCCATAAGATCTGGGCTCCCTGTGGGTATTGTTCACTTCTGTCCCCAATTCCTAGTCAGTTCAGGGCTGACCCAAAGGAGTGGTGCTTGACAAACACGTCTTTGATGGACCCAATTTAAGTTCAGAAAGAGTTCATAAAGCCTGCCCAGATAGCATAGTGCTGTGATAAAATGTAAAATGTAATTGTCATGGTTTTGGGGTACAATGCATATGTTTCTTTAATGCTAAGAAAGAGTGCAAATTCCAGCCATGTAAACTTTCATCCTGTTCCTGAAGTGGAACTGAAATTGTAGAACCGAGGTGGCAAATACTGTTTTTTTGAGGATGCTGAGATATCAAACCCCAATGAGAGAAATAATGGTGTTTCACGGAGCTCTTAGGTAGAAAGAAATAGGCCAACAAGATTTATAGCTGCATTTATTTCTAAGGTGATTCTATGTCAAAGGTCAGGTAACATATATTCTGCGCTATGCTATATTTACAGAGTGTTTCAAGATGGATTTTAAATTGACGGAGTTTCCGGTTAGCACAGAAATATCACACTGAATGTTAAGGACTAGGGGAAGTCTCAGTATGATACAAAAACGTGGCTTACCCAGTTCTGCAAAGCTTTAAAATATAAGATAACCCCATTATAGTAATTATAAGAGATGAGATTATTGAATTTTTTATAATACCGTTTAATAAATTAGTGAAATGTCAATAATATTATAACCAGTGTGCTTGCTAGGAAGACTGTACCTTATAAAAACAAGACTCAGGGCTATTACTTGTGAGGCTGAATTAAACTGTTCAAGTTTTAAAATGAGAAGACTGTCCTGTAGTGTGAAAATTTACCTCCTAACAAAGCAACCTGTTTGCTGACCTGGCAATGACTCTAGAATGATTGTGTTTTTGTTGCTTAATTGCATTTTAAAACAAATGTCATTAGATTGATAACCATCTGCAGAGTTTTAAAATCTACAAACATTCAGACAAGAGACGGCAGGCAGTGCTGATTCAGCTGATGTCTGGCCTGTGGTGACTGTGAGACAGAGTTGTTCAACTGAGCCAGGAGGTGGAATGCATTTTCAAACCAGGTTAGGTCTGTTCTGTCTGAATTTGAACTTGCTTCCTTCAACCCGTACAAGTAGGTGCTTGGTGTGCTTTGTAGATTCCACCTTTGTTGGGGCGTGGTGGCTGAGACTGAATTTCTTACTAGCTCAGGAGTACAGAAGTTTACTCGAATCTACAAATTTCACATTACTGTTTTGTCTGCCTACACACGACATAGAAGTGGATTTGAACGCACAACTTTATGCACCTTCCTTCCTTGTTCGAGAGTTGTCCTGTCTTATTGTCACCTGAACCAGGTAAATCACTCCCCTCTCTGAGTAAATGTAACTTGGACCTATTTCCCAATTATTTTTTAAGTAGCAGTGTAAGATCATTGTCATTAACTTGGAAAGCCACCTTCCCATTGGCAAAAAAGGAGAGCACCCTGTCAAAATCTTTGAAACAAGAAAATCCTAGCCAAAAGTTATTTTGAAACAGCACATCCTATAAGTATTTTTTAACTGAAAAATTGACTTAGAACATTTTCATCTTGCATCCTTTCACCCAAAAGGCATCAACTTAGAATGGAGCTAAAGAGAATTTTTAATGGATTGAGATTAAATCTATCATATTTACCCAGGGAAAATGCCCTCTCTTTTATTCTCAGAGAGTCTCATGTAAAAGGATGATTCAAGTGATGAGCTGCCGTGTTTTGACAAGCCCTTGGAGTACAAAAACTTGAAATCTCAGTGGAATACCATTATATATTCGCTGGGAGAAAAGAATGCCCTATTTAAAAACTAGGACAGATCATTTTGATATAGAAAAAGGACATAAGTGTGTGAACAGTATATCCCAAATGAAAGACTGAGTTGCAGGCACCTACCTAAAAATCAATAGGAAATATAAATGGATTAAAAAAAAAAAACCACACACACAGCAATTGATCTGATTAAAGTTCCATGCTAACAACATAGAAAAGAGGAATATTAGCCCAAGTTAGGAAGCAGTATTTCCCCCTCCCATGGCAGGACCTCTCCACTCTCTCTTGGAATCTTTCTACAGATAGGTTTTTCTATTTTCTAAGCACAATAGCAGATTTAAAGGGAATCAAAAGGCAACCTTTTATTCACAACCACCATATAATTTTAATAACTCTATACCATGTTTTCCACTATTTTCCTACAGTTGGGAATACTTTGACATTCAGCTGGATAGGGATGCTTGTCAACACAAGGGTTCTTTTCCACAGTTTTATACTATTGTATAGGCTAAAGGAGGAAGGTAGTAAAAATAATAATGAGTAACAATAATATAAATTCATACACAGCATATACCTTTTAGTGAGAACCCCAAATAATAAACATCAGTGAAGAATCAATGATTATTCTTACGTTTGCTCATTCCCATGCCCAGTTCACACATCACACCATTCACCATTTTTCCTTAGTTATTTGTTTGAATACATTTGGTATTTATTGGTAATTCCTGGGTTTGACTAATGTTAAAACTCATTATAGATTCTTGACGCCCTTCATTGAAAATTTCCTTGCTCAGTGACATGACTGAAGTTGGTTCTACTTCTCTAAGACAGAGCTATGAGCCACAGTTCATCTTCAACACACTTCAAGCCCATCTAGTACGGCCTTTACTGAGAAGAAGGGACCAAGACTTTTTTGGGTTTGATATAGTAAGGCCATTCATTGTTTTTTGTTTGTTTGTTTGTTTGTTTTTTTTTAAAGATTTTATTTATTTATTTGACAGAGAGAGATCACAAGTAGACAAAGAGGCAGGCGGAGAGGGAGAGAGGGAAGCAGGCTCCCTACTGAGCAGAGAGCCCGATGCGGGACTCGATCCCAGGACCCTGAGATCATGACCTGAGCCGCTGC